TTCAACGGCCAACGCAAATGAGCAGGCCTCTTACAGACGGAGGTGCGCGCGGACCTGCTCGGGGTGGCCGGCATCGACGTGCCCATCTCGGACTTCATCAAGCACACCATGCCCTACAGCGTGAGTATTGTACCACCTAAAATGCGTCGCCACTCATCTCGTATCTCGTATGCTGCCGTTTTACGTCATCTGTTTCTTCGTTTCAGATCGGAGTCAACGGGTACGTGTTCATCGTGACGAACAACGGGTACATCCTGACGCATCCCGATCACCGTCCGGTGGTAAGTGAGCGGGAATGTCACGTTGTAATTGTTGGAATTTTAAATGGGCAATTTGCTCATTTTCGCGTAAATTGTTGCAATTTCAAGACCGTGCGACGGCTTTACATCCTTACCGTGTGTGATGTTGCAGCACGGCGGCGTCCTCAAGTCCAACTACAACAGCGTGGACCTGTCGGAGGTAGAGTTCGCCGATGAGGAGCGCGATCCGCGGGATCCCAGCCCGGATATCCTGGAGGTACGCGAATATGGGACATGACATCCGGACATGCGTCGGCTCGTCTAAACCGACGTCGTTCCCAAGGCGTTTCGACACATGCTTTCGACCGAGTGTTTTCACGGTTATGTTTGTCCATCCCCAGCTCCGCGAAGCCATGGTGAACCACTCGCGTACGCACCTGCAGGTCCGCCTCAAGTTCCACTTCGACGAGATGGTGGGTGCCCGTGAGTCGTGACTCTCGCATGCCGTTGCCGTTTTGCTGGTATACTTTTCGCTCCCATTTGCCGGGCTCACCCAATCCGTGTTCGCTTTTTTGGGGGGCAGAGGCGGGTGGACAGCGAGCTCAAGGACATCTACATCGCGCCCCTCAACGGCACACCCTTCTCCATCGCCATGGTGCTGCCCACCGAGTACGGCCACGCCTGGCTCAAGGTGGCCGACGAGTTCAAGATGTTCCGCCAGGCGGGCGCGAAGCCGACGCACTTCTTCAACTCGGACCGGTGGCGCATCCACCCCGACTGGTGAGGTTCATAAAGAATTATTTTTTGTTTTCCTCAAAAATTGATTTTTTTTTTTCAAGTTTTCTGGAAACATTTTAACAATTTTCCCGATTTTTATTTGTTTAAAACTTTCCAATTTTTCCGGAAAAATTTCGGACTTTAAAATTCCTATAAACTACTGGAGTCTTGCGTTTGCGACACAGGGACTACTGCGCCTACTTTCACGAGAACTACCTGGTGTTCGACTCACCGGAGGCCCGGGTACTGCACTTCGTGGGGCGGGCGAGTGACACTAACTGGGAGTGGAGGGAGAGGTGGAGAAACCCGGCGAACGAAGTCCACGGTAAAACAGCCCGAGGGCGACCCGGATGACTATCTGTTACTTGCTCTGTTATACATATTACACACTTTTAAATACCGATTGTTATTGTTTCTACGCAGACCGGTGCGACAAACCGCATATAGATTTCAGTGATTATTACTGTAAGTCGACATACAGGGTGGCCCGTTGCCACCGTTCTTTCTTCTGGTCATACCTGGCGCCTTACGGCTCCGTGCGAGTACGTATGCAACCCGTCCGCACGCCTGCCGCACGGGACAGTATCACGAGAAGAAAGAACGGCGCTGATGGGCCTGGGTTTCTAATTCTAAAACATTGTTGTTTTTTGTTTGTGTTTTGTAAAGTAATGGGGACGTTTACGTTGTTTACCTGCAGGTGATCGAGAGCTCATGCAGCTTCTGGTCTTTGACGCCCGCCTCTCTCTTCCGTACTTCAAAGCCACAAAGTGGGAGCCCAAGAACAGGGACGAGTAAGTCTGCAGCCTCATTAAGTCATTCGAATGAGAGGGCAGGGAAAGTTTAAAAGTGTTTCCGTTCCTCAGACAGGACCTCGCCCGCAAGTACAACGTGTCGCTTAGGTTCATCTCGATGCAGAGCGGGCTGACGCGCTGGCAGCTGGTGCACGACCGGGCCGCCGAGGGAAGTCCGAGCAGCAGCAGCCCTCCGCCGCCGTGAGTGTCGATTGAACCGATGCAATAAACTTCTGGAAGGGAAAGAGGGTCTCGCACGCTACCCTCACTCCACCCGTTCATCTGCGCAGGGAGTGGGGCGACTCCAACAACCGTGCCATCGAGGAGCCGTGGTACGTGGGCGCCGTGCTGCAGCACCAGATCAACAACTACTCGTTCTACTTCTCGCTGCCGCCGAACGCCGGTAAGCCCACGAGCGTCCGCATGAAACTGTGCGGCCTCAAGGTGCGGCCCCTTCCCTTCCAGTTGAGGTTTTGAATCACCCACCCGCCACTCTACCCATATGCCCCACAGACAAGCAGACCCCCAGCAAGCTGACAGTGACGGCCACGCACGCGGTGTTCCACCTGGACGAGAGCAAGTACGTGCCCGCCAGCGTGCTGGGCTACGTCATCCCGCACGCCACGCTGCAGCGCCGCTTCGAGAACGTCACCGCCAAGGCGTGCAAGACGTGCCTGCCGTGCTCGAGCGAGGAGCTCAACTGCTACCTGCTCGACTCCAACGGCTACGTGCTGGCCAGCAAGAGCACCCTGGACACGGGCCGCTTCTTCGGCGAGATCGAGGGCGCCGTCCTGGCCGAGATGGTGTCGGCCGGGCTGTTCACGGCGCGCCACATGTACGACTACCAGGCCCAGTGCTCCAAGGAGACGCCCATCGACAGCGCGGCCGGCATCCTGAGCACGGTGAGCTGGGCGAGCTCTGAGCTTCCCTCTGCCGCGGGTATACCCCGCGCCTGCGGGTGGCTGTAGATACCCCGCGCTGTTAACTCGTCGTGTGTTGCAGCCGAGGGATACAAAACTATAAATTCAAGCATACCAATTTGTCTATGATTTGGTGATGTTTGTCGATTTTTTCCTATTTTCCCCTGATCTTTCGGGATTTTTCTTCTGGTTTTTCGGAGGGCGTGCACTTGTATTTACCCCTCGGTTGCAGCCCCTCAATCAGCTGCGCTGGCTGTGGCACTGGACGGTGGGCCGCCTGTCCTGGATGCTGCTGCAGTCCGAGCTGGGCAGCGTGCTGGGCAGCGAGGCCGGCGACTGGCTGAGCGACCTCTGGCGCGGGGGGCTAGCCGGCGCCGGCGGCACTCCTCGCCGGAGGGTCAAGAGGAAGAAGAGGCCGGAGGAGGACGAGGGCGAGGTCTTCCCCAGGAAGCCGCCCAAGGGCGCCACCAAGACCGAGTACTTCCCCTGCGAGCGGAAGGCCGTCCTGTACCGCCTGGAGCAGGAGAAGATGAGAGACGGCAACTTCAGGCTCCCTCCTCCAGTGTGCAGCAGGTAGGGGATGATCAGGCGGACCTTACGCCATACCTAGTATTTGATATCATGTCAGCCTCATTAATTATTCTAATTACCTGTTTCATCCCGTAGAGCATACTCCGCTAGAGCCGTGCCTTATTCAAACATGCTGCTTGTGGTGACAAATCCAATGAGTATAAACACGTGTTTCAATAAACTTTTGGCGTCCTCATCCGTCATAGAATACAATGTTACTGAGCCCTGCCAGAAAATGAATCTGAACGATTTACCTCGGAGAAGATTGGGAGGCTGTTACAATCAGCATCCTAAGGTTTGTGAAAGATACCTAATGGATATTTATATGTAACTCTAAATTGTTTGTTATCTTCTTTAGATTGTTATTTTGTCTATTTTTTTGTTGCAGGAAAAGTACATAAGAAAATGTGGCAATGCTGCAACTTTAGTCATCAATATAGCAGCAGTTATGGGTTGCTTTTCTATTCTTTTTCTATTACCAAAATTAATTGGCTAATAAAATGGTCAACCAAATCTTTCAGTATTTGACGTAACTGTATAAAATTGCCAGACAATGACAAATTTATTGTCTTTTGTCTTCAGGAAAATGATCAAACAAAAATTCTCATTTATATTGTTTATTCTTACAAACTAAGATTAACGGCTCCAAGGCTTAGCCATTAGAATTAAAAACAGCCTTTGTACTTTCATAATTCACCACCTACATGACACATCTGAGCAACAAAAGCTGATGACTTTGTAAAAGCCTAATGGTTTGAGCCCCATCAGGCTAAACGATTATAACAGGAACAAGACACACTAGAAATCAATGAAATCATGACTCATACATATCACTACACTTGCTTCTCACAAATGAAAGGGAAGCTAATCTATGAGCTTACACCAAAATGTTTTGAAAACATGGCACTTGTAACATTTTTGCAGGTGCAACAATTCCTTAAAAAGTAAAGCAGTCTGTGAAGCTCGCTAATATGTAAAGCTAGTATGTAAAGCAGAATCTTACTTTCCTTTGATATAATGAAATTGCACTGTGTGCATCACCCTTAAAAATCACACAAAATAACAAAACAGAACAGTTGTATGGCTACAACAAATCTTAAAAACAATGTTCTCAATAGTCACTAAAATTAACACTGTTCAAGGAACTAAAAGATTTCAATAAAATACCTCAAATGACAACAAAATATTCATATCTCACTGTGTAGAACACTGGAAAGAATATATTTTAGATAAAAATGTGATCAGAAAAAAAAATAGAATAAAATCAAAAAGTTGAAATTGATAAAATCTTTCTATAGTGCGCTAGGAAACAAATAATTTTGCTTATACTAACAAGTCAATGTGTCACATGATAGCCAGTCCTGGCATCAGTCCTCGCCACATACATAGATCAACTTTACATATGGCAAGAGTAAGATAATCTAAGTAAAGCATGAAATTAAAATTATAGTTAGGCCTAATATAGACCTGCTTTACCAATATGTTGGAATTTGATTGAAGAAGAGAAATAACACAATGATTACATAAAAATTTTACATGCATGGCACACAAATACCAATTAGCATGACAACATGATGGCAACTAACGGCAACTAAAAATAAAATCAAGTGACATTGGCATAATTAATTTGGCAAAAAGGTCAGCAGGATCAATAAACAGATCCCCGAGAGGGTTAACAGTTTAACAATCCAAGAAGAAACTACCAGGCTTAGTTCTGTGTTTCAAAGTCATATCAACAGAATCTTTGTCAGCCTCTTACATACATAATTAATAAGCTTACTGTAAGAGCAAGCATTAAATAGTGATGAGGTAGGACAATTCTAAATCCAAATTTACTTTAAAATGGTCCAGTCAATGACAAGAGACAGCAACATTATTACCCAAGTCTCTTGAACTTTAACATACTGTACAATGTACATGTAGCTTCACCCCTCTTTACACAAGACTTTGACAAGACAGCAACAGCCCAATGAATAACAAAATGCAACAGCAATCAGTCTTACTCAGTCTTCAGTAAAACTAGAGGTGTAAAAAGGCAATGAGCACAACATAATAACTATTCACATTATTGCCTTTTAAAACCTCACTGACGACAGGTCATCACTAATACTCAGTCTTATGAAGAGGACAGTCTTTGTCATGTTGACTACACAAATGATCAATTATATTGCTATGTGATAGGCAATACAATACTGTTGGGTCAAAATAATAGCAAACACTAGAGTCACCTTTAACTTACTGACAACAGATTTGAAGCAGTAACACTACTCCTGCCATCGGCAACAATTCCTTAAATTTCTAGGGAAAAAATCTACTCCTACAAGAAATTTGCCTAATCAAGATTGAGGCCGAGGAAGTCAATATTTTCTTATATCTACAAAAGATTCTCAATACTGTCCGTCCTTTTCATGGGCATATATCAAGATGCCCCAAGTCCATAGTTGATAAATGGACCAGACATCACATCTTACATCACAAAATTGTTTGAGTCAAAACAAACAGAGTTTCTAGACTACCAACAGCATCAACGCCTTTAGTACGATATCAGACAGATCATAAAGTTTTAAGTCTCAGAAGTTATTATACATAATAAAAACAGATT